TAGGCCTTGGAAATTTCTATAAATAGAAGGCTAATTCATTCATTTAGGGGAACCAAAAAATCATTAAGCAAGCTCTGAAGCTCTGAAACTCCAAAGCTCTCAAGCATCCAGGTTCCCGAAGAATCAAGAAAGCTCTCTTCGTTCTTCGTTCTTCGTTCATCGTTCATCCTAAGATCAAGCCCAAACAGCCCTTTGGATCAACAATCATCCACCAATTCAAGATCAAGCCCCGACGGCCCTTGAAGAAAATGTTATTCGTTCTTTGTTCATCGTTCTTCCAAGATCAAGCCCCGATGACCCTTGGATCAACAATCACCAATTCAAGATCAAGCCCCAAAGGCCCTTGAAGAACTTCCACCAATTCGAGATCAAGCCCCTATGGCCCTTGAAGAAAGTGTTCATCGTTCATCATCCGTTCATCCCGAAGAATCAAGAAAGCCTTCTTCGTTCTTCGTCCTTCGTTCATCGTTCATCCAAGATCAAGCCTTGACGGCCCTTGGATCAACAATCATCCACCTTCAAGATCAAGCCCCGACGGCCCTTGAAGAAAGCCTTCTTCGTTCTTCGTTCTTCGTTCATCGTTCTTCCAAGATCAAGCCCCGACGGCCCTTAGATCAACAAGCCACCGTTCTTCAAGATCAAGACCAAAAGCCTTTGAAGATCCGTTCATCACTGTTCTTCAAGATCAAGCCCAAAAGCCCTTAAAGATCCGCTCATCACCGTTATTCAAGATCAAGCTTTAACGGCCCTTGAAGAAACATTCATCCTCAAGATCAAGCCCCAACGACTCCTTGAAGATCCGCTCAAATCCACCTTCAAAGATCAAGCCCACGGCCCCTTGAAGAAACTTCCAACAGTTCATCCAAAATCAAGCCTCAACGGCCCTTAGATCAACGATAATCCACAAATCAACACCTTACGGAGATCGAATCAGAGGATCAAATTTGAGAGAGATTGTAACCCAAAATCATCAAAATACAAATATTTGTTTGTGCACGTTGTTCTTGTCTCTTTCGTTTCAGGAAATTTTCGTGTTCACAGGGATATCTTGAGACACCATGATCATAATCAGCTAGAAACCTCGCAAATTTACTCAGCAATGCAATTGGATTCTCAACTCCATGCCCATCTGCATTCTTGTGATCACCACCTATTTGTTTGCCTGGTAGATAGATAGCAAACTCATTGATCTCGTTTGCTGGATTTGAGGTGAAGTCAATCAAACCTTCACTTAAGGAAGAAGGAACGGCCATAGTTGCATGTTTTGCCTTGTATATGGATGTATGTGAATTTCTCTGAGAACCCTTCTAGTCCTTCTGGAATTTTGGCTTGAGCTCAGGATGTAGAATACAACATCTGTTAATAGTATGTCCACCACCATTGCAATGTTTGCACTTCAGATCAGACCTTTTACCCTTGTAGCTGCTATCATCAGAAAACTGGTGGCTTGAAACATATGCCCTAGATTCAGGAAAACTGTTATTTGTTTCAAGATTCATCGCTCTTTTGAGTTTCTTCAAGCAAAATAAGCACAAGCACACACACTTGAGAATGAGGGCAACTCAGTGTTCATCAGAATGTGGCTGCACAAATTTTCATAATATAAGCTAAGACTAGCCAAGAGTTGAAGGATCTTATCTTCTTCAACTCTCTTCAGAAGAACAGAAGCATCAGCAGTGTGAGATCTATACACATCGAACTCATTCCACATACCTTTGATACCACCTAAGTGTTGAACAAATGACCTACTTCCTTGTTGCAAACCAGCAATATCCTTTTAAGATGGAAGATTCAAGCAGCGTTGTTTTGATTACCATACATCTCATTGACATTCTTCCAGGGATGAAATGATGACTCTAAGTAGCTGAAGATCTCAGCAAGCTTCCTCTCCATGGAGTTGAGGATGAAGGAAAAATTTTGTCCTAGCTAAGAACAAGTATGAACATTTGAATACACATGCAAGCTATTAACACTTTAAAGTAGGCATGCATCCAAAAACAATTCATAAACCCATGACTTTCAAAGCCTAGTATATGGTGAACCAAAATAAACTCTTTAACAACATTAAAGAGAAGTAAAGATTTAGTGATTCTTTACCCTTGAAGCTCATCCTTGATTACACAAGGGATTCACCCAAGTGGAGGGCCTTCAAGTCACCTCCAAGCTCCTTGAATCCTCCTTGTGTTTTCCTCCCTTTAGTGCTCCTTTGATGATTTGAGGAAAAAGGATTTGTTCTCCAAAACACCAAAAGCTTGATGTCTCTAAGTCTCTTCACCAAGGATGTATCTTGTGAAGATGATATGGATGACTAAGGAAAGAAGAGATTGCTAGATGTCCCTCCCCTTAGTGGCCGGCCTCCTTAGAAGAAAAATGGAGAAAATGTTTCACCCAATTTCAACAAGAAGAACCCTCATTAGAAAATAGCTATAAAGTTGTATTTATAACCTTTTCTTTGGTGAGTGGCAAACTTGTAATTAAGCAAACTTTGCCCATCCACCCTAATGGCCGGCCATCCTTTGTTATTGGGCTAATTTGCCCATTTTGTTTTTAGTTGTCATACAACTTAAACATAATGGGCCTTGTGGACCAAAACGCTTTTGGGCCCCGAAACCCAAAACCAACATATAAGCCCAATACGAACCTTTCGTATAATTAATTAACTAATTAATTAATCTTGACCATTCTTCAATTAAACCATTTAATTGCTTATCCATCTCATTTAATTTCTTCACATACATCCTTACTCGGTGTACGATCCATTAGGTTCTATTTAGCGAGGCAGTGGGCGATGTTACTCTTAACGATCGATTGTGAATTGAAACCACATTTCAATTCTCCCTTTTTGTTGATTAGTGTTTGCTAACCATTAGGGCTTCCACAAACCATGAGTGACGCCTAGCAGCATATCATGATTACCCAAGCTAAGTAGAATTGGTTGGAGAACCTATCCAGTTACAACTACAATGCAATACGGTCCTTCTCTAATACAATACTCTTAATCACATTGTTTAAGTGATAGTTTGTTTCATGTCTACTATCCAATGTGATACTTTCCTATATGATTCCCTTGAATATGATTTGGAACAAACTTCCTAAGTCATATTCATTTGCTTTGGCCAAAGACTTTAGAATCATATCTTAGAGTATTCTCCCTCCACCATGGAAGGTTAGAGATCCCTTGTTGTGCATTCATATGCCTACATGACTAGATAGCTTGACCCCAACAATGCCGTGGACACTCCAAAGGAATGCCGTTGACAGGATCAAAGATCAAGGACCTAATCATTAGACATCGATGATGTCTCAGGTCAAAGGACTACTTTGCATATTGCAACCTTAGAGTTCATACATGACATGTATGTTCGAACTCTCTTTTGATCGTCGTTCAGTGAACTCGAGTACTCTTTCGAGCACCTATGTGTTTGTCTTAGTGTCCAACACCAAATGACTTGAGACTAGTTATACTCACGATTGAGTCAACATAACACATACTAGCCTTAGCGGATTGTCAATGCCCAATTAGCAATCCTATGGCTAGGAACGTTTTAGGAATGAACATAAGAGAAAGGTCTCGATAATCTAACTCATTAGATCACTTATCTCTTAGAACAAATACATTCCTTGGATTCCCTTATTGCTTAAACACATGATACAATAAATAGTGATTAACAATAAGATTTGCCCTTCATTAAACATATAAAAGTTTAATACAATAAGTATTCCAAAAAGCTATTACATCAAATGAGTGGCTTTGTGGGCATACTTCCAACAGAGGAGCCAAGACATGACAAGTTGATCCTTGCATAGCCATTTCTCATATAAGGGTGAAGGGATTACAGGTGCCTGGATGGTTCCATTAATGTAACCAAGCTTCGATCTTCCACCACGAGCAAGTGTAACTACTCGTGACCATGGAAGGTAGTTGAACCCATCCAGTAAAAGAGTTTTTGGTTGGGGCTAACTTAATTCCACTTCAGTAAAATTTGAAGTGGGTGAAACACTAGAACTTTCAGCATCAAGACTGAAAGGATTTTCCTCAGTCATTTAAAAGAGCTATAGGAAGAAGAAGAGGTTGAAGAAGATATGCATAGATACCATGTTGAATTTCAAGGTCTGTATAATGATTGTAGTATGATTGACAAGTGTGAAGGCTCCTATAGAGAGCCAAGAAAACCGGCTACAAAACCAATAGACAAAGAACATGCAATCCTTGTTTACAACAACTACAACAATCCCATGCTTATGCCCTAAAAGCCGGACACTCCCTACGCACAAATTACAAGTAAAGTAACCCTAAAATTAAGGACAAGGTTGAGGAGTAGGAAGGATGATTGACAAGTGATGATAAGTAGGTAAAGGTTGTAGTCATCACTTTAACCCACGACTAGCTATAATGATAGTTACAACCTATCCTTATAATCTATTTCAATAAAATCACATGGACTTGTCTATTAAGACTAAAATAATTAAATCCTTTGGGAAGAATATTACCCTAAAAGATCAGAGAGACATACTTGAGACAGGCATTTTATTATGCGGGTGATTAATTCAACATGCATTTGTGGATGAAGTACTCTTTCATAGCTCCAAGTTTTCTATACCACTGGCTATCTTTGCTTCTTTTATTTCATGTCCAAATTGATAAGACAATCGATGTAGGGAAAATCTCAGTAGTTGGCGTGACCGGTCTTCGAGACATTAGCATTTGAAGGTTCACATGGCACTGTCTTTCAGTCATCACTAAGACTCCTCAGTAGTGATTGAGACTTTGTATCTGTTGAATCGCATGGAGCCTAAAATTTAAATATGAAAATAGAAACAACTGATTTTGCTCCACATATTTTGCCTAATTGCTTGATGATATTTGGAAGACAAAACCATGTGATCACTCATCAGCCCTAGTTCCAGTTTATACCCCAGCCAGATTGTATTGTTTGGACCACATGTTTCTTTCAAGAGAGGAATCCTACACGAGCTTTTCAACTATATATACCGTATGACTGCGTTTATGACCGCCAACTTCAACTCTACAAACTCTCTAGTCTAAAAATTCTCAAGTACTTTTCCTTGATCTGCAAGTTCTATTTTCTGAACTTTCGATCTCGAGATCTTCAAAAATGGGTTTCCGTCTTCCGGCTGTACTTCCTGCTAAGAAACTTCTTAGGCGGTCCTTTTCAAATACAACCAGAGGAGCTTCAACTAATTTAGTAGATGTCCCAAAAGGTTATTTTGCAGTTTATGTTGGCGAGAACGAAAAGCAGAGATATGTAATTCCAGTATCATTCCTGAATGAGCCTGAATTTCAAGACTTGGTAAGTCAGGCTGAAGAAGAATTCGGGTTTGATCATCCCATGGGTGGTCTAACAATTCCCTGCAGACAAGATGCCTTCCTTCATCTCACTTCTCGCTTGAATACTTTGTGAGAATGCATAATTGAAAGTCTCTATATTACATGAACAAAAAATTTTGTACAGTAGACAAACTCAACATTCTGTAATTTTTTTTCCATGGCAAGTGAACCAAATGTCTCCCTGGATTATGTAGAAATCCAGCAACTTTTAATTTGGTACTAATAGTTTTTGACTAATAGTTTTTTACTGCATAAAATACATTTGTTGCCTTCTTTATCTTGTGGAACTTCATTCGTTATTCATTTGCCAAATTTAACATGGTTCTGTTTTCACTTACTGGTTTACAATCATTTTACACAATTTTTTCACATTTACAAGCATCAAAATCTATGCTCGTGTGATGAATCATATGATTTAACCCTAAAGGATCTCACGGGTGATCATTTAGCGTCTCCTTGCTTTTCTTAGGCTGTCAAGCATCCAAAATGGCGTCATGACATGCATGAGTAAATAAATGCCTTACTCTGTAATCAAACATGGTCCCTTGTTCCTCCTCGACATAGTTAGAATAATGTTGGATGCAAATGGATTTTTTCATATCAAGCGACATTTAGACGGTTACATAACGCTACAAGCCTCGTATGTAGCCAAGGGTTTTTATAAGCGTCCTGCATTGACTATCTGAAACATTTAGTCTTGTTGTGAAAACCAACTACTATTTTTCCCCATCCTGGCCGCTTCATCAGTTAGACACGAAAAATGCCGTTCTAGCTACATGGTTATCATCACGAAGATGCCTACATGATTCAACCTTCGAGGTTCATGGACCCTGCTTGTCCGCTTTATATTTGTCATCTTCATAAATCTCTATATGACCTCAAACAAGCCCCTCGTACTTGGTTTCAACGGATTAGTTCCTTTTTGCTCTACAATGGTTTTTGACAGCCAGGCTGATTCTTCTCTGTTTATATTTTGGCATGCTTCTTCTACTATTTACTTGTTACTATATGTTGATGACATTGTTGTTACTGGCAGCTTTCATGATCTTCTCACTCAGTTTACTGCTTTTCTTGGTCGATGGTTTGATATCAAAGATTTGGGATCTAAGTTATTTTTTGGGCTTACAGCCAGCCTCCACGCTGCTTGCCGCTAAAATATCTCTCACTGCTTCCAATGGGTCCCTCTTGGCGTCTCCCACTTCGTATCGTGAACTTGTTGGCTTTTTACAGTACCTCACACTTACTTGCCCTGACATTTCATGTTGGAAAATATTAATATTTATGTTTATTTTAGTATTTGGGTTTTCCTTGTTAGTTTAGAATTTGGGCCTAACTCATCCTAATTAGGGCTTCTTAGGTTTAGTTCTTTAAAAATATTGCTTGTAATTTAGTTTGAGAAATAAATCATTCACAATGTAGCCTCTTGAAGTTTATGTAGCCATCTCGGCGATTTTATAGTGTTTGGTATCAATAATATTTCTAGTTTTGTAATCCGTTTGTTTGTTCATTGTGGTATGCGCACTCTGATATTCAACTTGGTATCAGAGCAGGTTCGATCCTTAGGGTTCAATCCGTTCTTATTGGTATCAATTTGTTTGCCTTTGTCACCTGCTGTTGCAATTTATTCGTCCTCGCCATCACACCGCACCCACAATCTGCTGCACCCGCGTGACTCCGTGATCTTCTTCCTACATCGTACTCGCAACCCACAAACCTATCACCTGCAACCCATCTGCACTCACTCCTGGATTCATCTCCGCCTCACTGACCTTCTGCACCATTCTCGCGGTTCGTATTCATCCCCAACAAAGCCCATATCCAAGAACCACTCAGATCGAGTTCGTCTCCCCTTGAAATCCTGTAAACCTGCATCTATTTCTGTTCCGCACCACACACTCGCTGTCTGCAACTTGAACCTGTATCTGCAATGTGCTAGTTTTGCACAAATTGAAGAAAAGAAAGAGAAAGATGGAAAAGGACAAAAGAAAATTTGGTTTGGTCCACACAGGCAACGAGAAGAAATTGTTGGTTTTTGGTTTTTTCTTTGGGCCCACGTTTGATATTGGGCATGTGTTTGGAGCATGTAATTGTTAACTGTAATGATTGCTCGAGTGCTTGGACTGGTGATCACTCGAGTGACATTGCGAAAGTTAGTTTTTTTGTTTTTTGTTCATGTTTGTTCGAAAGTTGGAATTTGCATTGGCATTGGCATCGGTATCGACATTGGCATCGGTATCGACATTGGCATCGGCATCAGCATCGGCATCGGCATCGGCATCGGCATTGGCATTGGTATTGGAATTGGCATTGGCATGGGCATTGGTATTGGAATTTGGCAATTGTATTGGCATTGGCATTTGGAATCTTGCACTTGCATCGAAGAAATTTTCATAGAAATTGGCATCAAAAATTAGCATAATGAAGCTTGCATCCACATCTGCTTGTTGGCAAACTCATGTCGTGTACCGCCATGAGTTTGACTGGGGGGGGTGTTGGAAAATATTAATATTGTTTTCCTTGTTAGTTTAGGATTTGGTTCTAGCTCATCCTAGTTAGGGTTTTTTAGGTTTAGTTCTCTATAAATATTGCTTGTAATTTAGTTTGAGAAATAAGGCATTCACAATGTAGCCTCTTGGAGTTTATGTAGCCGTCTTGGCGATTTTGCAGTGTTTGGTATCAATAATATTTCTAATTTTGTAATCTGTTTGTTCATTCATTATGGTATGCGCACTCTGATATTCAACTTTTCATTTGTTGTCAATACTGTTGCACAATTTATGAGCTCACCTCGCACTGCTCATATGATTGTTACCAAATAGATTCTTCATGATGTCAAAGGAATTTTGGCGTCACCTTGATTCCACAACTTGCTTTTGCTACCTTGTCTACTTATTCTGATGTTAATTGAGCCAGTTTTCCGAATACTCATCGTTCCACCATTGTCTATCTGATTTACCTTGGCTACAGTGGCGGATCCAGGATTTTTAACTCGGGGGGTCCCAATAATAAAGGTCAAAAATTTATAGACAAAAATAACATTGAGAAGTTAAATATAATACATTTCATTCAAAAATCATATGCAAAACATCATTACAAGCTATAAAATCCTAATTCAAGCGTCCACGACGAGGTTTCATAGTCTAAAAATGTTCCATGATAGCTTCATTACCAATACATGAAAAAACATCTTTCTCAATGTAAACAACTAAGGTGTCACTCAACCATTGATCTCCCTTTTGTTGCAAAGTTGACCATTGATGATATTCATATCGGAAAATGTCCTCTCTACTGAAGCGGTTGCAACCGGTAAAACAAAAAACAAGCAAATATACATATGCAAATGTTTTATGAGTATACAAACATAAAACATATCAACAATCATATCAATAATAGACTAAAAATCTCCATCAATGTCTAATATAATTTAATTGAGATTAGATTAGAATTCCAAAAAACTTACTTTAATTTTGAACCAAATAGTGGTGGAGTGGAGAATTGAAACAGGTGGAGGTATGATATTTGATTTATGTAATTATAATATAGGATTGGGTCATGGGTGGGATTAGAAATTTAGGGTTTTGAAATGGGGGGAAGGAGGGAACCAAATAATGGGGAATTGGGGGAAAAGCAGCGGAGAAAGAGAGAACTCTAGGGAAAGATGTGGGGCTCAGGGGCTGGGCTTTAAAATTAAAACAATATGGAGTCATCAATCATGGCCCATGACTCATGGACAAAAGACAGTGTTTTTTGTCTCCCTATTTTTTTTTTTATAAACTTAAAACAATTGGCCAAAATACTACCGTTTTGGACCAATTGTTAAAAACCCCTATTTTCTTTCTTCTTCCCCGCTGTCTTCTTCTTTGTTGCAACCTGCAACCTGCAACCTGCAATCTGAAACCTGCACAGCAGCACAGACCTCGTGTTTGAGGGGTCCTCCGGAAAATTTCTAACATCAATTTAGGGTCATCAAGGGGTCTTGGGACCTCCCAGGTCCCTCTGTAGATCCGCCACTGCTTGGCTACCAATCTTATCTCTTGGTGTTCCATAAAGTAGTCGACCGTTGATCAGTGCCAAATCGGCATATCGGTCTCTTGCTCATGCAATGTGATGAGACCACCTGCCTTTGTTTTCTTCTCCATGAGCTATGTGTGTGACTCTCATTCCTCTTTTTGCTACTGCATTGATTAAAACCTTATTTATTTTCAATTTTTTATCAAGGTCCTTAGGTATTTATAAACATCATTAATTATTTCAATAAGAAAATATTTTTTATTTCTAAATATATTATTAGAAATGTTACATTTGGTATATTTATATTTATGACTAAATTTATATGTTAATAATTATGTGGGTATATTATTTCTTGCTATAATTTTGTGAAGAACAATATTACCCTAATATTTATTTTATATGTATTTATTTTATGTTTTTAAATAAATCAATAGTTATTTTTTAAAATATGTTAATAATTATGTGGGTACATTATTTCTTGCTATAATTTTGTGAAGAACAATATTACTCTAATATTGTCACATCCCGCCCTGGGCCCCCACCACATCCCGAGCTCGACCATAACACAATATTGTCCACTTTGGGCCCTGACCACGCCCTCACCGTCTTGTTTTTGGGAACTCACACAAGAACTTCCTAGTGGGTCACCCATCATGGGATTGCTCTCGCACGAACTCACTTAACTTCGGAGTTTCGATGGAACCCGAAGCTAGTGAGCTCCCAAAATGTCTCGTGCTAGGTAGAGATGAAAATATACATATAAGGCTTACATGATCCACACCCCAAGACAATGTGGGATGTTACAATCCACCCCCCTTAGAGGCCCGACGTCCTAGTCAACATATTTCTGGTCAGGGATTGGCTTTGATACCAAATTGTCACATCCCGGCACGGGCCCCCACCACATCCTGGGCTCGACTCCACCGTAGCACAATATTGTCCGCTTTGGGCCCCGACCACGCCCTCAATGTTTTGTTTCTGGGAACTCACACGAGAACTTCCCAGTGGGTCACCCATTATGGGATTGCTCTCGTGTAAACTCGCTTAACTTCGGAGTTCCGATGGAACCCGAAGCTAGTGAGCTCCCAAAATGCCTCATACTAGGTAGAGATGGGAATATACATATAAGGCTTACATGATCTACACCCCTGGACGATGTGGGATGTTACAAATATTTATTTTTAAGTATTTATTATATTTTAAAAATATTATTTGAATTTGTTTAAATTTCATGATTTGTGGGACATTAAATGCATAAATGCATGAGTTAAATCTCTTAAATAATGTTAAGGACCTCGATCAAAATATTTAAATTAACAAGGTTTCAGTCTAACAATTAGGTTGGTTAGGGAATGGAACCAAAATGACCATTTTCTATCTTACTGCATTGCGACAACCTTAGTGCCGCATATTTGGCCTCCAGTCCTATTCATCATGCTCGCCCACGTACTATCGGCCTTGATTATCATTTTGCTCATGAAAAGTGGCACATAGATCAGCCTGCTAAATTACTCACCAAAGCTTTTCATCAACCGCGTCATTGTGTTCTTTGCTCCAAACGTGTCCACGCAAGCGCGTCCAATTTGCAGATTGGGTGGTGTGGGGTGTTAGATTAAAGGAAATTAATCCAGGCAAATATCCGTAGATATGGAATGTATTATAGGAATGTAATTCTCAATTATAATTAGTGTAAGATTCCTTCTTAAATAGGGATTGGGAGCATTTTTACTCACCACCATAAACTATGGTGTATGCTCACCATACCTAATCAATTGACACGTGTCATTTCACTTAATCTTGGTTAATTTTTTTTCAAAATTGAAAAACTAACATTTAATGTGAAAGTTAACTAGAGTTATGTGAAATAACACGTGTCAATTGATTAGGTGTATAGTGAGCATACACCATAGTTTATGGTAGTGAGCAAAAATGCTCCCAATAGGGATTTATGTAACCCTCTATATTATAATATTTTCACACATCAAGGAATCATATTTCTACATTAGCCATTAAAATTAAATGAGTAAGTTGGTCATAGTGAATTTTTACCCCCTAAATAAATGGTACTCCTGCCAAAAAGAAAATCTTTGCAGAACCAAGGTTGAATATTATCAATTTTGAGATACCTTCTGTCTTGTACCTTCCATAATTTAGTAGCTTTTATAGTTTAAGTTAGGTAATAATTGAGATCATCTCTCTTTCCGTTAAACTATTTTGTTACAGAGATGATGAAAGATGTAGAAAGATATTGGATTAAGTTGTACTTCAGACTTGAGTAATTATCCCATTATGATCTCTTTTAGTTGCTCTGAGAATACCGAATAAATATTTTCGCCAAATACTCGATGGACGAAAGATTGCTGTTATAATTTATGCATATATAACAGATTCCAGCCTGCTGATTAAAGCCAAATGGAAATTGCTTGGAAATACCAATGAGTTCGTCGATCATTTTACACTGCAAACTTACATGTTTTCAAAATGGTTTAATCAAACAAAACACATGAAGATGAAGTGCACTTGACTTAAGTGCTAATTGTGTTATAAGACTACACCAACATGATTATCTCTTCTTCTTTTTTTATTGTCAAACGATAGATTTTGTTAGATTAGATGTTAAATTAGTCACCGACAAGATTCGAACCTACGCTGTCTGCAAGGGTTCAATTCCTTTCCATCACTATCATAAAAGGCCACTTGCTACAAACATGGTTATCTCATTGCAACGTTTCTAGTGAAAAAGTTGGTAGAGGAGGAGTTTGATTGTTAAATGAAGTTGGGCCTAGCCTGATGGTGGTTTGAATACGAGCATGCGCAATTTAAATTGGATTTAGCTTTTGAAGAGAGATTCTTAATCTAATTTTGATATGTATTGTTGGCCTATTGTCTCACAACCTTAGCTTTTAACGTTAACGGTTGTCTATCATATTCATTGAAACTGGTCTTCAGTTTTTCCTCTCTTTCCCTACTTCATTACTTACGCATTTTTGTAGATTCATTGCGTTAGCACGTCTTCAAACCCTTTTGGACTTTTTAGATGAGAAAATGCGCACCAAAATGGGATGGAATAATCAGCCAACTATTTAATGGATCAATGAACACGGACTGAGAAGAGGAAGGCAGACCAACAAAAACCTAAGTATAAAAATTAGGGAACTTTAACCAAAAGTTTCCGGTACTGTTCACTTTAACAAAAAACCACATTTTTACACTAAAAGTTAATCCTGATTCTATTCACCTTAGCCTTTATTTTGTCCTTATCATTAAAACTCAAACTTTTCAAACCATTTTCATTAGTTTTCCCTATAAATTACTCAAATCGATGACTCAGTAACTGAAAATCTCAAAATTAACAAATCGGGTGACCAACAACCATAAAAGAATTTTAAACAAAAGGAAAAGCCAAATCGGATGGGGGAAATAAAAAAAGGACGATGCTGTGAGAAAGAAGAGGAAGCAAAAGAAGTTAGAGAGAGAGCAAAGTAGGTCGTTGGAACAATAACTTTTATAGAGAAAAACTAGTTTTTTCAATCCGAGGAAAGTGCTTCTATCGTCTATGCAACATTAGCTGTTGATAAGGAGTTGCAACCAGACAAGGTGAAAGAAAAATGTTAGTTTCCAACTGCAAGCTTTCAATGCACTTTGAGGCTGCTGGGGTGAGATTTCTTCAAGCATGGTATAACACATAATTGAAAAGTTGGTGTTTGAGGAACCTTTCAAAGCAAAACAAAAAAAAAAAACAAAAAACAAAAAAAAAACAAAAGGTACTCTCTCTTTCATTCAGCATGAATAGTCCCTTGCATGTCAATCAGCGCAAACCTTGCTTCGGAGGTACCCAAGTCCGTTCCGAGATAAAGTCGCCCCACCCCCCAATTGAAACACCACTTGAGCTTCATCATTACCACTTCCAACAACCATTGGTACTGTTGGACCTCTTGGCCGCCATCTCGGTCTTGTATGCTTGTTCTTCACGCCATTACACAACCCATTTCTTGAAAACTTCATCTGTAGACTGAACATCCCTGAAGCATCAAATACTTAACAGCTTGAATTTGATGCACAACTACTAAAACTACTTGGTGTTGGTGATGAGAGAGAGAGAGAGAGAGAGACCATGTGTATGCGTACGTGTGTGTTGGGGATGGCGACCATGGAAACATGAAGGAGGTTGCATTTGCAGCCATGGAAAAAATGCTATAAATGGATGTAAAGATCATTTTACATTTTGAAATGGGTTTGGGAGGATAGTTTAGGTAATAACTCTGGGTTTTAAGAGATATTAATTCTTACATAAAAATTAATATGGGTGTAAATAGTAAGTTGGATGTAGAGAGAGGTTACATGGGTTCAAATATAATTTCCCTTGTATGTTTTATCACAAAACCGGCCAATGTCAGATATGAACTTAGCCAAGTCAGCTAAAGCAGTGTGATCATCGCTCTTGACCCAAGTTTAAATCCCTCTTCCCAAATTTTGGAGTGTAAATTACAGTATCGTCTGTGAAAGAAAAAAAACCACAAACCCACTCCGTGCAGATGCAACCTCGAGTAAGCCTAAACACACAAACACCAGAAAGTGTAATCAGATGTAGTGTTTTCTATCAAATAACGCAAAACGTTCAACATTTATCTCATGATTTCAGGAAGAGGAAACTCTCCTTTGATGTCGACTTCTCACAAACTTGAATGAATTACAGTAATTTGTACTTTTTCCCGCATTCCACACCAATAATAATCTGAAGCTGAGGAGAAAGACGATCCGTCTCAGAACATAACCATGTCAATCTGTCTCGGCACACAATCGCACGAAAAAAGCTTTCATTTCTTTTGGATTTTATTGTTTCAATTGTACACAGGGTCTCGTGTATAAGAACTGGGTAACCTAGCTACGGTGACAAACAGTACAAGCAACTACAGGTCGACCGCAGGATGCCAAGCATCATCCATGGCCTGGGACAACGGAGAGGACCGAATAATGTTCTAACTGGCAACCTGCTGCAATGGAGGCCAAGCCATTTCATCATCTGTGTGGCCCTGAATGAGAAAATCAGAACAATTTTTCCTGCACCCATGGTTATATGGGTTTCGGAACCGCCCATCTGGACCACGAAGATACCCATAACGAATAGCATTCGCCAATTCGTTGGTGGTGATATTTCGAGCTATCTGTTTCAAAGATGCAACGACATCATCAGTATATTCTCACTTACTTGCAGGAGTTTAAAAGACAATAATTGTAAATACATCTGTACTAAACTAATCAAGTCTTATGAAAAGATCAAATTCAGCACATACCAAAGTGAAGGTACAAAATATTAAAGAAAATTAACTATACAACAACAAAGCCTTTTCCCACTAAAGAAAATTAACTATAACGAGAAAAAAAAAAAAGACAACCAAATTTTGCGACATCGAATTCATTAATTAATCCACATCAGTGATTTTGTTTCTCTTGTCAGTATTCTCTTACAGGATGTGAAAGGGGGCATAACTTTCTTATCAATTGCTATATGTTCCCACAATTTTTTCCCATTATTTAACGGGTTCTTCAATCGCTATTTATCCAGCCCCAAAGAAAAAATCTCAAGAAAGAAGGAAAAGGAGGTAAATAAAAGATAAACCGTATTCCAAATTAATGACCGTATGGGCTGGTTAATCCTTGAATGCAACTGAAAACTAGTTAATCCATTTCGAGAGTATAATTCCCATCTCAGAAGATGTAGTTTTCACTTATTAGGAGGAACACATGTTTTGTCTTTGCTAACTAAAGCTAAAATTTATGTAGTGAGGGTTCCATCAATTACCTGAGTTGCCTGCGCCGTTGTCAGGGTAGTAACAGCAATTAAAATAATTACGTCCACCAACAGAAAAGCAACAATACTAGGATATTGAACTACCACACGACGAATCCATGATTCTTCTGTTCGCAGTCCTGGCAATGCACCCCAAATCCCTGTCATAGTGAAAAGACAGCTGTCATCTAGTAAAAAAATGAAACAGTTCATCACAAAGTTCATAATTTCTGCTACCCACATACTTTGAACTGCAACAGCAGTAGAAATGAGTGACGTCAAAGTTCCCAGGCAGATAAGTATAAAGAAATCTCGCTTGTTTCTCTGCAAGCAAATAAAGAGATAGTGAAGCTGGTGGAAACAATTGTGACCTCAAGTATCCATATCAAAGTTATATTGACTTGGACTGTGATGAAGTTAGCACTACTTACCTTTCCAACACAATTAGATATCCATGGACAATGATGGTCAAACTGTTCTACGCATCGGTTACATGAGGGGCAGTGTTTAGAGCGAACAGGTCTAATTATCTGAAGCAAAAGAATGTCATAAATCCATGACATTAATCAAATCTACAAAAATTATATGCACCATAAAGATATCCCAAAATACTATACTATTTAACATCCTCTTTGAAAGAAAATAGGTCATCAAGTTAACCTTGCAAGTGGGACAAAGTTGAGACCAATTTCCCATCCATACAGCGGAATTGTTCAAATCAACGTTCAACAAAGGATCCTGAAAAATGTTGGCGCACTGTTAGTAAGCTAAGTTACACAAGTTTACAAGTCAACCATACCCCATCAGGAACTGCGTTTCTGAGCATTGCAAAGTAGAGTACAAATGTTTTTACCACATATGCACGCATAATGCTCGAGCATGTATTGTCACATCATCTATTTTTCAATTGCATTAGATGGGTCCCCTTTATTAACTGGTCACATAAATATTTCCGAGGGAAACTGACTTTTCATGCATAATTCCAAAATCAAGGGTTCTTTTGTTCTATCAGAATAGTTGATCTTTGAGTTTGGGGAAGAAGGTGAAAGTCTTCTGTAGTTGCAGAACGATTGCTAAGTTTTCAGTGATGTGCTTGGAAACAAGAATAAGGATCTTTGAAAATTTTGATGGGGAGGATGTACAGTTTTCTTTACATGACAATTCCTCGATTTTGGACCTCACTCAGTTTCGTTTCTTCCAAATTTGTGATACATGATATTTTTTACTTATGCTGCTATGCACATGTGATGCTGTCACTAAAGATGCACTTAACATTTTGCAATCATATGAGATTTAAACTATCAACCTAACTAAGTTCGAATTAAGTTTCATGCCTACCACCTTCTGTTTTACAGAAACTGATGGCTTCAGGAAAAAAAAAAAAAAAAATATATATATATATATATATATATATATATATAAATTGTTAAAGATAGTCATTAGAATATCTATAAATTGTTACAGTTAGTCATCTGAAAACTACTTATATTGAACGTAGAAATGATAAAGACTAAACAGAAACATTGCATACCTCTGTATTTATACGATTGCTTAAATCCCCTGCTCTTTTGATGTAACCTGGATCTTTACTGCAAGCAAATGTGGTAGATAATTGTTTAATGACATCACAAAAACAAACTACAACAGAAGATTCGTGGTAGATGTATAAAGCACATCTACTATTAAGGTATAAATTTGCCAAGCTAGTAATGTCTCTTGACAATGTATAAGATATATTAGGTTCCTCCAAAAAAGGAATGGGTGGGGTTATCTGGTGGCTGTGGAAAAAACGAACCCTAAGTGCTAAGTGACTACTAAATTGTCCAAACCAGAAGTTCAAGTATCAAGGCATATTCAAATTTTCTTACTGAAACTAATGCAAAATACCCATTTTAGAGAACTGGAGAAGATAAAAACAAAATTTTAATTTGAGTTTAATTTTGGATTCTAGAAAAAGGATTACCTGCTGCACCTGTAGAACATAATCAAGGAACCCACTGCTAATGAAATGGCAGTCCATCCCCAGATACCGACAGCAGCAGTAACCTTTGTCAGATTAGGAGCTAACATGGGTAAGTATGAAGTCAGTGAGGAATGACTAGCAAGGGAACTCAATCTATCTGAAATCTAAAGGAAAACTGGAACAAGCTTTACTACCTGCAAGGACAGAATTCATAAAGAGAACTGTCTGAAAGACTATTATACACAACAAGACAGGTGCGTAACCAATATCCGCCATCTTCCCACTGCAAAATTTGTCTCTCCAGCAGTTGCTATGAGCCCGCTGCTGGTTAGCCTACACAAGATACAAAATCACTCTTTTTCTAACTAACATGATAATATTATAAACATTCCTATTCAATTAATAGTTAACAGAATGTTGTAGAATATAATTCCCCCCTTCACATATACTTTTCTCATGAGAAGAATCGAAGGATATACATAAGGATACATCTGATATGACATCTATATTTACAATAACTCCTGCAAGTCTTCCAGAAAAGAGAAAACAAATTCATGTTTGGTGAGGCATGTATGTAAGTTATGGAAGGTACATGAGAACCACTAACCAATTTGTTTACCTTATATATGTACTATACATGACACTGAATTCTCAACAAAGAAAAGAAAATGTGAATAATAACAAACGCCAAATCTATGAGAAGAACCCATAAGTTATGCAACCATTGCAAAATTCGGTCCTATATCAAAACCTCCTCCCAAACTCAACCTCATATTCCCATATCTGCGTTTCAAGTCCCGTTAGATTTGGTGATGAGAAAGCTACCAGAAGTGCTACAAATATAAAGTTACGTACAAGGAAAAGAGCGACACGCTGATGACCTTTATCAGATGCAATCTGAACAGGCGTAAAACCAGCATTGTCTTTCACAGTTAATTCCTGCTTAGTGCCAGCATAGACAAGCACTGTGCAAGCCTCCACGTTCCCACTTAAAGCTGCCCAGTGCAAAGGGGTACAACCTAATACAAATGGTATACAAAAGTCATCAGACCACAAAGCAGATCACCAAAAAGAAGAAATAAGCATGATTGAAATTCATCTTCTTCAATATAAAAGAGTATTATTTACAGGCTAAGGTAGCAACTTCATGATCATAGTTGTCCTGTATTGCATTATTTGATACCCATCACGAGACATGTTTAATCACTCTCTTCTACTTAGGCTAGGTTTGACATATTACATAAACGGCTGATGTATAAATTTACGGGTGCCTTTATTGGCACCCAATTTTTAGTTAAGTTCACCCAATTAATTTAACAAATTATACTTCCAATTTTACTCTTATCGAATGACCAAAAAGGACATAAACCATTATCATTTTCTCAACCCCAAAATTGAAGTTTGAAAGCACTCAAGCACAACACAGATGAATGAATAATTATCTGTTTTGTCCTCTCACCCATATCCATCGAACACTTTCTGAGATAATTGAGAAGGTATTCTAATTAATATTATTAAAACAGAAATTAGCAAGTGGTTGTGCTTCTCAAGCATCAGTGGAGTAAGAGCTGTAAATTCCTTGATAAATCATTTCAGCCAGCTTTTTACTTGCATGATTTAAGCCGAGACCAAAGCTTTATATGAAGAAGATAGAAAGCCTTGGAAATATTTTTGTATTGTTGATTTTTTTCAGTAAAGGTATTGTTCGCTTGATTTTCTGCAGCATAAGGGTCAAAATTGAAGGAATTGATGCATAAAATTCTGACCCAAGCTACTGAACATGAATCCAAATATCCAGGCAACCAGGCCCAAACCATAAAGTTACACCAAACGGGACATATTCAAGATGATATCCCTTGGTGTATGCTTTTCACAAATGATATAGATGAAACGCAAGAGGTAGTAAACGCTAAGCTTAAACATTAGGGGGAGGTGTTGGAATCTAAAGGTCTCCGCCTAAGTAGGTCAAAGACGAAGTATATGGAGTGCAAGTTTAGTGGGAATGAGGGGTTCAAATGAGATAGGGGTGAGGACTGGAGATCAGGAAGTACCAAAGAATGCAAACTTTCTTTATCTTTGATCTATGTTGCAAAGGAATGAAGAATTGGATGAAGATCTCAACCATAGAATACAAGTTGGATGGACGAAGTAGAAGAGTGCATCAGGTGTGTTGTATGACCGTCATATGCCAATAAAGCTCAAGGGGAAATTTTATAAGACGATAATAAGGCCAACAATGCTTTATGGCACGGAAATTTGGGCAATCAAGCATCAACACATGCAAAAAATGAGTGTAGCAGAGATGAGAATTCTTCATTGAATGGGTGGAAAGACAAGCCTTTTTGGTGTCTGAGTTCACTTCTGTTGCAGTGGGTGTAGAGATGGGTGAGTAGTTGGGATAGCTTTGGAATGTTAAATGTTTGTAATTTCTTAAAGAAGATGGGTTAAACTTATTAATTTGGGTGGACTTGACTAAAAGTTGGGTGCCAATAAAGGCACCCTAAATTTAATTGTACTTTTTTTTTTTTTTTTTTTTTTTTTTTTTAAGAGTTTAATTGTACTCTTAAAATAATCAGAACACAACAATATTGGGTGAATAGTGCACATTTAGTGTACCTTCTTTATCTTGCCTCCCTTGGCATGCATCTCTAAACAGAAGTAATCTAACTGTATCTGCAAAACCTTTATATGCGGCCCTGGTTGAAAATATAATAAATTAAAATAATTTTCATGTAGACAATCTCACAACAAAAACTTCCTGTTTCCACATACGTAAGACTGCTGCACAGATCATAATTTGATCAATGACCTCAAATCAGAAAAAACTTGTTTTGCCAATCAGATGAAGACCTTTTTCCATTTAAAGGCTCAGCCAAAAATACAGATCACCAAAATAGACCAATCAAATAATTAGAAAGGAAAATGTAGACAAGTCAAGGTATTACATGCATACTGAAAATATTAACAAAACGGAAAAGAAGTTGGATGCTAGTATTATGAACAAACCAAATCTCGAAAGAACTAATACTGGTGCTATATATAGATGTACATAATGAACCACATCTGATAATGAAAGCTTTGTGGAGGGGTACAGACTGCTATTGCACCCCCGCAAGTCCTTACCAGACACCAAGAGTCCTTCCATGGTTCCAATACCAATCTGAATACCTCCACAAGGGGTCACACAGTTAGACGGTAGGTATCAATTAGCTATTTCCATTTTCCATAAAAGCAATAATAACTACTTCAATTGTTTATTCACTCATTCTTTACATGTGTGCATAAAACAACGTGGATATGAATAGATTTAAAGGAAAACTAATGAAAATGGCTTAAAAACTTTGAGTTTTAAAGATAAGGAAAAAATAAAGGGTAAAGTGAATAGTACCAGGTTTGATTTTTTAGTGTAAAAATGTGGTTTTTCGTTAAAGTGAACAGTACCGTGGGCTTTTCGTTAATACTCCCTATTATCCATGACAGCCTATGTTTTGATGGAGAAAGTGAGAAAGCACGATGCCAATGTCACAGAATATCTATGAACACGTAAACCATGTCAATATGCCATAGTATAGCCCTTCAACATACCAATGAAGAGGACTCCTCCCCTCATTATCAGGTGCATCAAAATCAGCATGATATCTTGCAACAATGTGATTCAGAAAAGATGTTTGCCCATATTGAGCAGCAACGTGAACTGCCTGCAGTAGATTAAACAAGAGTTGAGAAAAACTAGTGGCAACAAGCATTCTTTGATTGCATCAATATAGGACTAACAGCTAATTTTAAAGTATACATCACCCACTAAAAATTAAATTCACACAACATATGACTACCTAAAACAATACAACAACAACAACAAAGCCTTTTCTCACTAAGTAGGGTCGGCTATATGAATCCCAGAACGCCTTTCCGCTCGATTCTGTGTCATGTCCTCCATTAGATCCAAGTACGTCTTTTCTTAGAGTTTCATCCAAAGTTTTCCTAGGTCTTCCTCTACCCCTTCGGCCTTGAACCTCTATCTCATAGTCACATCTTCTAACCGGAGCGTCAGTAGGCCTTCTTTGCACATGTCCAAACCACCGTAACCGATTTTCTCTTATCTTTCCTTCAATTTCGGCTACTCCTACTTCACCTCGGATATCCTCATTCCTAATCTTATCCTTTCTTGTGCCCCCACACATCCAACGAAACATCCTCATATCCGCTACACCCACTTTATGTACATGTTGATGCTTAACCGCCCAACATTCTGCGCCATACAGCATCGCCGGCCTTATTGTCGTTCTATAAAAAATTTCCTTGAGCTTCAATGGCATACGACGGTCACACAACACGCCGAATGCACTCTTCCACTTCATCCATCTAGCTTGTATTCTATGGTTGAGGTCTCCATCTAATTCTCCGTTCTTTTGCAAGATAGATCCTAGGTAGCGAAAGCGGTCGCTCTTTGGTACTTCCTGATCTCCGATCCTCACCCCTAACTCATTTTGGAACTTGCACTCCATATATTTTGTCTCTGATCGACTTAGGCGAAGACCTTTAGATTCCAACACTTCTCTCCAAAGGTTAAGCTTCGCATTTACCCTTCCTAAGTTTCATCTATCAACACTATATCGTCTGCGAAAAGCATACACCAAGGAATATCATCTTGAATATGTCCCGTTAACTCATCCATTACCAATGCAAAAAGGTAAAGACTAAAGGATGAGCCTTGATGTAACTCAACAGTTATGGGGAAGCTTTCGGTTTGTCCTTCATGAGTTCTTACGGCAATCTTTGCTCCATCATACATATCCCTTATAGCTTGGATATATGCTACTCGTACTCCTTTCTTCTCTAAAATCCTTCAAAGACTGTCTCTTGAGACCTTATCATACGCTGTTTCCAAATCTATAAAGACCATGTGTAAATCCTTTTTCCTATCTCTATATCTATCCATCAATCTTCGTAAGAGATAGATTGCCTCCATGGTTGAGCGCCTTGACATGAACCCGAATTGGTTGTCCGAAACCCGTGTCTCTTGCCTCAATCTATGCTCCATGACTCTCTCCCAAAGCTTCATTGTATGACTCATTAGCTTAATACCCCTATAGTTCATGCAATTTTGTACGTCGCCCTTATTCTTGTAGATAGGCACCAAAGTGCTCTTTCCACTCATTTAGCATCTTCTTCGTTTTCAAAATCCTATTGAAAAGGTCTGTGAGCCATACTCTACCTAAAACAATATGACTATAAATATAATAATCACTTTATAAAAGAAATAATGCTACACATGATAATCACCAGTAAGGCAATAAAAGTTCCTACAATTGTTATTAGTTATTACAAGCAATGCTAAGAACATATGTATCTGGGTAAGCATGTATACGGAAAGTTCTCCTGCTAGGAACTCTGTAAACCTAAGGTGCTTGATCTTGCTGAATCTGGACCATAGATCAGTGTGGTTCATACCAAAATATTTGGTCCAGATTAATTGCAACGTAAACTTTTCTTTGTTTTCAGATTAGAGAACATTGCGATAAAGTATGGCAACATATCGTAGACAAGCTGCAGTGCCAAAACTGGTAATCCGCAATGCACCGCACCAAAGAAAGTTTGTGCATATGTACTTCATCTCGTTAGCATAGTACGTATGCAGCTGGTGTTGAAAACTGGGCTTCATTTTTGGTCGTTGGATTCAGCAGTTGGATACTTAATGGAAGTGAAACTACTGAAAACTACTTGTGACCCATGAATAACACGCTTGCTCCCTCGCCTCTGGAATCTCATCCAGCTCCCAAACCACGCCACCTCTCCACTCTCAATTCTTCATCTCCACCCAAATGCAATGGTGGAATTAAGGCTTTAAAGGTCCATTAGTGTCTGAAAATGATCTCAATCTCAATGAACTCAAACAATAGTTTTGGAAGAGAAAGAACATCAGCAACACATAAACAGATACAAGAATGAATAAAATTAGGAAGATCACTAGAACATACATGTCCCATATAACAGATATACAATATCAGGGCAAAACTATGGGGAAATAATTTTAAGGAAATACCTAGTTTATGTAATAAAATATATTTTTTTATTTCAAAATGGACAAACTCAACCGAGAAAATTAAAGATATTGGAAATAAACTGCATTAAAAGGAGAGAGGAAATGAGAGAATTACCCGGTAGCCATGTACATCAGCTGCCTCAACTCTAGCTCCATTCTGCAAGAGCACATCAGCCGCCGCAATTGCACCCTTCACGGCTGCCCAATGCAATGCTGTCTGATGTACATTTTCAGTCGCATTGACATCTCCACCATGCTTTGAACACATCAATACTAAGTACATTAATACCAAATAAGCCAACCTCACCACAGAATGGAGCAACCCAATACCAAAAGTAGAACAAAATAAAAACAGACATATGCTTCTTCAACAGCCAAAAAACCCACTGCAACTGTTCGACCACCCCCTGACACACACAAAAAATTCAAAATTTCCACACACAAACCCACTGCAAAACTCAACCTTTCCTCACAAACCCACCACAGAAATAGCTCAATCTGTATAAACCTACCACAGAAAACAAACTAATTCACAGAAATAGAAAAGGTTTAGGGCATAGATACCTGAATTATGTAGTGGGCAATATCGGGGAAGTTATTGAGAGCAGCCCAGTGGAGGGCGTAGTAGCCATGGACGTCTGGCTTGGAGAGAGAGGCACCGTCTTGCTCGACGAACTTTCTGAGTTTCTGAAAATCGCCATAAGCAGAAGCAGAGAAAACGTCGAACACGGGAACCTCGGGAGGGTTTTCCTGGGTTTTTGAGTCCGAAGACACCACCTCTATCTCTGAAGAAGCCATTGATGCAGAGCATAAGGGAGAATAATCAATCACTGTAATGAAGAATAAGAGAGGATAGGGTTTCTGGAGTGAATTGGGTATTTCTTCCTTAATTTTGAATTGGGGAATTCTACTTTCTTTACCCCTGTAGTAATGGTGAGTCGGTGACAGAGGTTTGGTTGCAAAATTGCATCACAAGGAGTCATGACTCACGACGGATACCTCAAAACATAATAATATTAATTTTTATCTTATGATATTTAATTAAGGAACTTTTATGAAAATGACTTGAGTTAAATTTATTTTAATCAAAAATTATATTCTAACTTTATTTAATAAAACAATTAAATTTTAATGAATAATCCCTTAAATTTTAATAAAAATGACAAAAAAATTAAATTTTAATGAAAAATGACATAATTTAAAAAAAATAAAAAAACAAAACAACCCGAACGCACAAGACTTGTATACTGTTTATGAAACTAAACACTATTTACAAAACTGCACTATTTATGAAACTAAACGGTACTATACTATTTACAAAAAACTTATAAAAAGGATTTCAAATCTTTATATTTTAATAAAAATTCATCAACTAACTTTATTTAATGATAAAGACAAAAATTTAATAAAAAAAATAACCTAAAAACCCCAACTTGCAATTGGGGCGTACCCCTCCCTTCCACACTCCACTTTTTTCTCCAACCTTTTTCTCCCATTGTCAGCCACATTAATAGATTTCTATTTTTTTTTTTTTTTTGGCTTAGAATAAGAAAAATACTTCAAATTGAATTACATTCTCTAGTTTTATTTTTGTGGTATTGCTTCCCAATAGTAGTCATAATGATGAGAAACTTTTCAATGTGTCCGGAACACGAGGTGTGACACACCCCGACCTGGAAAGGTCGAAGCATGCTGGCCGTCACCGTGAGGTGAAGTAACCATAAGGGTAAGTGTGCAAAAAGTGAATAAAATTAAAACTAATTATCTATTCTAAAGTAGGGGAGGGCGGGCGCTGTTCACGTTTGTTTTGATTTTGCTTTATTTACAACAATACCAGCCAAATGTGGCTGGGTTGGGAGGGTGATTCTCAAAATTTCAGAGGGTAATTTTGTCCATATGGCTTATCAGGGAGCCACTCGATTTCACGCTATTTACAACAAAACCGTGAGGTTTGGGCTGGTATTGGGGCTGGGTTGGAAGGGAAATTTTGTCATGTGCATTTGAGACGGATTGGGGTGGGTTTGGGTTTGCTGTCATTCAGTGAGGGTTTCGGGGATGGGAGGCCATGCCTTCGATAGAGAGAGAGAGAGAGAGAGAGAGAGAGAGATAGAGCGACAGAGAGAGGGAGAGGGAGGAGTGGGGATCTCAGCGCCATTGCTGCAGATCCTCGATTTCATGAGTGGGAGAGATGTATGGAGATTTTTTTCCACTTTTTGAGGGACGAATGGACAGGGAGAGAGAGATGGCAGAGAGCATGCTGTGCGTTTTTTGGGGTTAACGGGCTACCCCACGAATGGTGAGCAGAGGATGTCTGAGGGAGGTATGGGAGAGGAGAGGGTTTTCAGTTTTGTCATCTGATTCAACAGGTAAAACACTGTTCAGAAATCATTGTTTATTGTTTGTTTCCCATTTGCTTTGTTAAAACTATGATTGACATTTTTTTGTTTCGGCAAAATTGTAATGGATGTTTATAGCCTGTTTAGTTGGGTGTTAGGAAGATAAGTCTGTTTGGTGCACTTTTTTGTACATTGTTAGAGTAATGTTGTGTCTTTTTAACTTGGGGTGTTGCACTGTGCTCATTTCTGTTTTCTTCATGCTTTGCTGCTGTTTCCTTCTCAACAAGTCGAATTCAGGTTCCTTTTCTACTTTTCATCCTTTGAATATCCCTCTGTTGCTAGGTTGTTTCTCCATGTTTTGTTGCTTCTCTATTTGTGTGATAAGGGTGTTAGAAAGCTGTTTTATTTATTGTTTTGCTCCTCTGTTGCTAGGTAGTATAATTTTGAAACAAGTTTCTTCTCTATGTGTTCAAATGCATCATTGTTTTCCGTTCTTCAGTTTCATTTTCATCATTAGCTTTCTTATGATCATTGATAGTTTAATACCACTTGGGAATTCACATGCCACAACAATATTAATTTCCAAGCTCCCTTGTTTGCAGCTTTAGCACGGTAAAACTTTAGTTTGATTTAGTATTGTGCTTTAGAGTGAACTTTGAGTGTTGATATATGTGTGAGTAGAGTTGTAAAACAGAGGAGAGAAAATGAACTTTAAACAAATGAAGGAAACAAAATTTGAGCAAAAACTTCCAATCTTTAAAACTGTAAGGCTTTTCAGTAGGTGTGTTTTGTAAAAAGGTTTTAATCTTTCTTAGAAATGTAGCTTTCTCAGTTATGCAATTCTTTTAATAGGTGTATTTTTATCTTTCCCTATTGCTGATTTAATTTGGGTTTTGTTAACAGTTTAATTTGGAGTTTAATTGAAGGTTTAATTCAGGTTTGTAGTTGGGGATTAATTGAGGGTTTAACTTTAGTTAGCTTAAATTGCAGAATGTGGCTTTAAATTTGAAAGTGTCTTGGTTGCTAACGGATCTGCTTTCTTTGCAGATTACAGAAATTTGGATCATTTGAGGAAGAAGTTGGTTCCATGCTGTTTTGAGGTATATAATTATACGCCATCATTTTTGTTCAAAGCCTACTTAGCTATCTACCTTTTTTTATTTATATTTGTGAAGCTTTCATGGTTAGATTTTAAATATATAATTCAATTTTTGTCATTTGAGCTTATATTAGAACTGAGTTTCTTTCTATTTAGTGTGCGTATCGGTATTTGTCCATTTATGTTAGGGTTGAGATGACTAGGCATCCATTTGGTCGTTTTACGTTAGAATGGAACTGGGCAATAGATTAGGTTGCAAGATAAATTTCTAAAGTTCTACTAGCTTAGGTACAAATTATTTTTCAGAAATCAAACATGCAAAATTTCTATGCATGTTTTGAAATTGGTTGTAGGAAGTGGGCTTCCAAGTCTTAACAATAATGGAGACTATGAAATCAGGGTAACCAATTAGGGGTAACTATATATTTCAAAAACGCAAATTTTACACGCACACACACGCACACACATTCTATCAAGAATTAGTTTTGATTGGCACAAATGAAGATGAACAATAAGAGGGTTTTCTATTCAAATTTACTTTTTGTAATTTTAGGGGTTTTGATCATACATGTGTATTTAATTTGGTTTTTTTTTTAGTTTCTGGAGACTCTGGTTTTTCGTTTTTTGGGCCTTTTCTTTGCTGCCTAGAAAGCCCTCTGTGCTCAAGGTAAACAATTTCAACTTTTTACTTCTAAAGCATTGCTCCTATTTAGCAGTAAGTATTCCATTGTATACAATAATATGTTTTGTGTTATGCTAGGAACCCTGTTTCCCCTTTTTGTCTCTCTGTGCACTCAGAAAACAAGCCACCCTAATTGAAGCTTTCTATCTTCAGATCACCAGCAATAATCACATCAAGGTCCCAGGAGGAATCACGAGGATTCACTGCCGAATTGGTATGTACTTATGCTTTTGCAAAAAACCATTTTCTTGCCATTTTTCTGTTTTAGAATTGGGACCAAAATGATTATGAGTGATTTTGAAAAACACTGAGATAGAAAAAATGGCTATTAAGCAAGCAGGTTGTGAGTATTCAAACATATAATTTTCAGTCAAATGAAATAGTTGGCACCACAAGCTTTTAAGTAGGGAGGGATGTTTGATTATATATTTTTTGGTTTTTATTTTTTCTCCTCAGTTGTTATTTTCCTTTTACTGTATATTGTATCTTCTGTTTGCGAATGCCTCTGTTTTTTTACTTGCTGAGAATGCATGTCAGGGGTGGCTCAACAGGACCGGGAAATCTGGAAAGGGGCGAGGGGTTAGCAGAGGGGGGATTGGGCATGTGGCATCAGGGCTAGGTTACCAAGATGGTGTTTGGGTGGGTTTGGCAGTGGGTCATATGAGGGACGGTGGTGATGCACTCCGAACTCACGAAGGTGCACAAACATTACGAGTGCATCACCATAAACAAAATTCATATTTAATTGTTATACCCTTCACAGTAAATAATTTCCACATCGGAGTTTTTTGAAACTTAGAAGACACCGGAAACACGATTCGCATAGCAGACTAGCTTATAGATGATATAATAGTCGGATAACAAAGTTCTCAACTGAGGGTTCAGAGAGACTCATTTCTATGTCCAATTATGAAGCATTTTTTGATTTTTATTGATATAAAGACCTTTTCTTTCTCCAATTATGCCTCTGTCAACACTTTTTGGTTTAAATGCACTCAATAAGTACTCACATTTATCTGATAGACCAGATGAAAAAAGAGGGAAACATGGATTATATATGCAAGAAGGGCACCATAACAAATTGTTTTGGAATTTGAGTTTGGATTGGAATTTAATTTCGATATACAAAAGCACTCACCTTAAACACAGAGGAATCAGATGCTTGAGTTAAACAATTAGCTGATCACAAATTGGTAAGGGTTTAATTTGAAGAAATGGCATTGAACACATTTAATTGACTGAATGCTGAAATTCTCCCTTATGCACCAAATTGGATTCATAAACAGAATCTCATTTTCATGTTCTGTTTTCGTTTGGTTAACAGAGGAACTGCAATTTCAATGGATATAATTTTTGTTGCTCTTCCATATATTTTGGTCATTTAGCAAGAATTTTTTAGATTTCCTCTTTTAAATTTGAAAGTGTCTAAGTTGCTAACGGATCTACTTTCTTTGCAGATTACAGAGATTTGGATCATTTGAGGAAGAAGTTGGTTCCATACTGTTTTGAGGTATATAATTATACGCCTTCATCTTTGTTCAAAGGCTATTTAGCTATCTACCTTATATATAGATATATATTTGTGCAGATTGCTTAAGGGAAGGGATCCCAATTTTTTGAAAAAAATGGGGATTAGGTGTGGGGCCCACTCCACATCGAATTTCAACGATCCGAACCGTCTATTTTGTTAGTCTCGATTCATAGATCATCCTTGCAAAAATTCAATTCAATCCGAAATCGTTTGCCTATTTAATTATCAAGATCAAATTTCATTTTTTCTTATATAACAAAGTATTCGTTCATTTCCTTGAACCCAATTAGATGTCTTAAACATTTCCGATTTAGCTAATATTTTGCAAGGATGATCTATGAATCGAGACTAACAAAATAGACGGTTTGGATCGTTGAAATTCGATGTGGAGTGGGCCCCACACCTAATCCCCATTTTTTTCAAAAAATGGGGATCCCTTCCCTTAAGCAATCTGTATATTTGTGAAGCTTTCATGCTTAGATTTTAAATATATAATTCAATTTTTGTCGTTTGAGCTTATAGTGGAACTGAGTTTCTTTCTATTTAGTGTGCATATCAGTATTTATCCATTTATGTCACGATTAAGATAACTAAGCATCCATTTGATCGTTTTACCTTAGAATGGAACTGGGCTTCTTTCTATTTTGTGCACGTATCTGTATCTCTCTATTTATGCAAAGCTTGAGATAGCTTAGCATGTATTTGTAACAAACCCTGTTCCAATTGAATGATTGCTGTATTTGTTCCAAACACCATTTGAATTGGATGATTGGTTTATTTGTTCTAAACCCCGTTAGAATTGTATTTGCTTGGATGGGCTATTAGTATAGGGATAGTTAGATTAGGAATTTTGTTTTGCCATTTTGTGATTGAGATCTAATTACAGGTTTTGTGTTGCATGTCTCCGTGTTTCGGTGTCTGTCCTGTCTGTGTGGTTAGTTTGGGTTGTTTTTAGATTCTTAAATGGTGCTGCTTAATATTGTTTGTAAGGTTATTTTTACGGGTTGGGGGGGGGCAGTGATGCTATGGCAAATGAACTTTGAGTTGTGGAAAAAAAAAACTTTCAAAAAAAAAAAACTCTCCCAAATGACAAACTACAGGCTATTTATAGCACGATAAATACATGCCTTTGCATAGGTGTTTCACATTCTGCATAAGTGTTTGACAAACGTTCAGTGCTGTACTACACCAAAACCAAAACAAATATACAGAAGTGTTTCACATTCTGCATTGGTAATAGGGTTTAATTTGAATATCTTTTTCTTGAGTTGCTTTGCACAAGCCTCACAGTGCATGTTAACTTTGAGTTCTGCAGTTACCACTCTTTTAACCTGAAGCAAAAATAAACCAGCTTTATAAGTCCACTGTTTTAACAAGTGTAATTTTCTTTTCCGGTGCTTTCTATTTCAGACAATGCGACTTTATGAATTTTTTATTTAATGTTCAGTTTGATCACCTTATGTTATTCGTTTGGTTTCGGCTTTCTTTCCTTTTTTTTTCTCCTCTTTGTGATCCTCTGATTATCCAGATGTTGGATGGGTTCTTTTTTTTTTCTTTTTTTTTTTCAATTATGTTTGTGATTCGGTTTTTTTAACAGGTTTTAAAACATTCTGGTCATTCCAATTACAGTTTTAAGATATCCTCATTCGTTTAACACATGAAAATTAAGCATTTTCGTACCTAAGGTTTTAAATTATCATCATTTTGTTCAAATGCACCATTTCCTTTTTTGTTTCCCTTCTCTCATCTTGCAAGCACTCATGGTGTCCATTTCCTTTTAATTTTGGTTAATGCGGGTTTTGAAATTTGTGATGATCATTTTCATATTTCTATAAATTTTGACAGAAAAAAACCGTTTGAAAAAACATATTTGTCTCTAAGTATAAATCACATTAGTCTAATTATGGCTATGATAAAAAAATCATGTGATCAACTGTGGCTTGCTTATACTGCAATTTCAATTTGGGAATTGAATTTATTTACAAAATTATGATCCTTTTTAAAATTTAGAAAAAAGCATGTTAAAAGACGAATTTTCTTTACAAGAACTTGAATAAAAAGTAGACCATGAGTGAAAACCAACCAACAACGATTATGGTGATTCAGTAATTTAAACATAAACCAGCTTTGATAGTGATACTCACCTATTGTCGATTTTCCTTTCGGGCATATTTCCTACACAGAGTTTCCCAAACTGTGTTCTCAAACAGCTGCATCGTCATATATTTCCAACTTCTAATAGTCTTTGGTCCCCATACTTTCCAGAATTCGTTTTCGATCGTAATAATAGCTGCTATATTACTTGGAATTGTCAATGATTTCAGTTCTTTTTCTTTTCTTTTTGAAAAGCATGGGTGTGAAGTTTGATAACCCAGTTTAACAAACAAATATATTGAACTTTTCAAATAGACTTTACATTTATCCCATAGATTTTCTCCTTTTCTTTTTCTGATTGTTGTTGCATTGTTGAGAAAAAAATTATATTAATGGTTGTTCATTTCCTCTGTAGTATTCTATTGTTATTCTGATTTCCGCTGGTTCTTTAAATGGTGTGGTTTTTCAATCAGTTAACACTTTTTAAAAATTGAAACAATAGTATAGTTCTAAGCGTAATCATTTGATTAGTCTTCCTTTTACCTTGATTTATGAAGACCAAGGATTTAACCATGTACAAGGCCCAGCTATGTGGTTTAATTCTATTTGCACCTGGTAGGCTTTCATTTCAGTATAGCCTTTCATTTCATTTCAGATAGGTGAAGCAGCACACATTTGCTTTTATATATTTATTTTGCTATATTTTCAAAATGTGTTTTTTTTTTTTTGGGGGGGGGGGGTTTTCCCATCTCAGATGTGTGTCTCTATATACATGCATTAATGGTTGCAACATGTTACAACGGTGTATTAAACAAAGTTGAAGAATGTTATAAGCAACAAGAAAGGCTTCTTAAAGGATTCAGATTTGTCAACTAAGTAATTGAGTTTGGAAGCTAATCACTTACTTATGCTAATACATACAAATTATATTAGATTTGTGTGTGGTGAAGGACTGAATACGAGTATTATGATAATCTCAGTGTATGAACTATGTACTAACAGGCAACCCCTTATGTTTTAACATGTAATTCTATTCATAAGACGTTTCCTTTTCTGTTTGCCGGTGTGTATTTTGATAGAAGTTAACGATGAAGAAAGTTTTAATCAGTTGAGTCAGCTTTGCTTCCTGTAGATAGCTTTGTTTTATGTTGCTGTGCTTGCAGGGCTTCTCCACAGGTTCCCTGCAAACTTTACTCAGGTGCGAGCCTATGCTTTTTTCTTTCAACCCTTTGTCTCTTTCTTTTTGTTCTATTAAACATGTGCTCTATGGTTCTCATTTAGTACACTCTTATGTACAACAAACAGTTGGTCAGATTAGGAACTGGGAATCTGTTAGGCATTTAGAACAAAAATACATAAAATGAATCATTCCAAAGCTTCTTTAGGGACTTATGACATAGCATTAGAGATGGGAAAGAAAGTGATATGTCAAAGGTAATTTTCGTTATCCGTTCAATTTTGATGGTGATCCTTATCTTAGTTGTGTTTATTTTCTATGTTGTATATATCCACGTACATATGCATATGTGTGTGTGTGTAGATTGATCATCTAACAAAAAACATGCTAAATTATATAGAAAATGAAAATTATACGTATTAGTGTGTAAAGGTGATGCCCTTCTATTATTTTGTAGAACACTAATTTTATTGTGCTAGGCAGCACTCTCTATCACTCAGAAATAATTTGCACCCAACAATTTAGAACGTTTTATGTGTAAATTTCCAAAATCATGGCACCATTGATGGTTGCTCTCTAAGCTGCCAAATTAGGTGTAAAAAAAATCTGAGCTGTGAATTTGTTTCTTGGTGCCTTGATGACATTACTAGGTGTACGTTCATAGTGTATTGAAGTTGGATGATTTCTTAACTGCACTCTTGAGGTGCAGGAATTGCGGAACCTGCAATGGCTGGCAGGCATTGTGGTGTACCATGTGCAGATGATTAGGGAGGGTGCAATACCAAGTGAAGAATTACACCTTGAGAAGGTAGACTTTCCTTCATTTAGATTTTTGACCTCTATGTGGTTCTTGGTTTTAAGAACAAAAGTTACTTTTGTTTTGAAATTGCAATTTGAGTTGGTGTCTCTATCTGTATGTTCTGTGAATTTGTTTTGAGAACAAAAGTTACATTGGTTTTGAAATGGCATGCTTGATTCATTCAAAAGTAGGAAAAAATGGGATTTTAGTTGGTTTATATAATCTTTTACACAAAATCTTAAAATGGCATGCTTGATTCATTCAAAAGTAGGAAAAAAATGGGATTTTTGCAGTGAATTTGTCCTGTTTTGGTTCAATGGTTTGGGCAATATGGAGAGCAATTTAGGAATTTGTTACCAAAACATTGATGGATAACATGTGTATCATTTTTTTTACGTAAATATTGAATGCCTTATCATTTTAGTTTTTAACATGCCATTGTTTATCTATATCCAAAATGAGTTTGAATCTTTTCAAATAAATGTTACTTTCTGATTTTAGAAACTGTAATTCACTTTTTATTGATCTTTTCCTATATATTTGATTTACAGAGCTCTTGGATTGTCAATTGTGACTGGAAATTCTACTCCTCACATGGATCATAGGTAAAAAACACTATTTTCTTTTCTCATTACTTTTTCTTCAAATGTGTTTTATTCTGAAATTGTCTCTTTATATATTGTAAATTTCTAGCACTGATGCAAACTTCAGAGCATATAGGAAAGCAAATGTTTTCCATTTTAGGTACAAAGAGCCAAATATGTTATCTATGTCTTCAATGAAATGGTTTAGTGTTATTGCTTTTAATTGTTTAGTTTTAACTGATGTTTGGATGCTTATATATTATTCGTTTTGCCTTTTTGAACATGAATGGATAATCAAATTGGAATAGATTCTATTTTTTTAGTTCATTTTGCTTATCAGTTTATCTTCTTTGAACCAAATGTAAATTCCAATATTGCATTGTTAAGCCCTGAAATTAGAACCAAAAAAACTTGCATGAAATTGAAGTTTTCTCTGATTGAGAACTCATTTTTCTTCTACTTGAAGTTTTCTCTGATCAATTTCTGAATAATTTAGAAATGGTTGTTAAATTGTGGGTTACGATTTCAAAACCTGTGGCGGAGCGCGGCCATTTTTTCTATTATTTACTAAAATGGTGAGGAAATCCTTCCATTATACTGTCTATATTCAGTTATAATACTTTCATTTGCATTCAATTGATTCCAACCCAAATAGGATATTAGTTGACTTAGAAATGATTCTAATGAGTCTCCTGTTTTATCTAATTATTGTCCTATGAATTGTATTCTTCTGTGAAATAATGATTAATTAGAATGTCTAGAAAAAAAAACTTAGGCATTGCAGTGTTTGAAATGATAATATAAATCCAATTTGGCCATTTGCCAGTCAGAGAACCTAATTTGGGAAGTAGGTTTTAAAGTTTCAATAGTTTCGTTGTGTGTAATTTTGTGCTTTGCTTACCGGGAATCTAATAACCAAAGGCTTACTTATGTTTCTCAAATGGTTTTTAACTGTATGTTTCGTTTCTTTAATATTTTCAGATGATATAAATGATCAGTTCTGTGATGCTATTAAGAATAAAGGATCTAATATATTTGATTTGTTGTCTACAGAAAACCAAGGAACTTGATAGCACATATTTACTAAGTCAGTTACCTACTTTGCAATGACTTCTTTCTCCCTTCTTGATTGCCAGGTGCGGATCCATGCATTGTACTCATATTTTTGTAATTTAATTATCCTTTTTGAAATTTCTGTCAAGATATTCATTTTCCTGCATTTTAAAGTTGAAAAGTGTAGTTTTTGGAGTGAACACAATGGAACAATCGAATCAACTTTCGTTTACCAAAGACCGGCTCCAACTTTGTTGATCAATTTCGTTCTCAATTTTATTCAGTTATCTACTTGAATCCATTTTTCTAATCCTAATTAGTTCATGCAATTAGCGCTCTTTCATGTTTAAATATGCTAAATACTTTAGATTTGAAATTTTGTGTGTTGAATATCAAGATAGAGAAACATTTCTCTAAAACACCATCTGTCCATTTATGCATTTGTCTCTAACTTTCTGTTATTCCTTTTATTGTTCCTCCTTTTTTCTGATATGTCGCTGTTTTCATTTATTTGTTAGAAATTGGAAAAATTGAAGTTAATGTGAACAAATGACAATTGGCTATAATGATCATCGAATTCCCTTATCTGGGTAATATTGAATCGTATCGAGTTCTGCATGGTTGGGTTTTTTGGCTATCCTCTGTTTGGATGCTCGGAAAGTTTGGTGGGAATTGGAAATTCAGTTTGGAAATGAGAATTTGGAGTTGTTTTCTATGTCAGTTATGGGATTGACAATTTTCGGCTTAGTTTTGGCTAAGAAAGAATTAGACTGTTATTCATTGAGTTAGGAGGATTGCAGTGTCAAAAACTAAGAAGGGTTAGTGCTATTGTAATGGCACTTGCATTTGTTTTGAACCTAAAAAATATTTAGCCCTTTTCTGTACTGATGTCCGATGACCTGAGAGTATCGAAAATGATTCATTTATTAAAGTAACAACGCAATGGTGGTTGAAATAAGTGTTCTTAGGTATCTATGGATGTGATATGAATTAGGTGGATGATGTTGAAGCATCATTCAATAAAAAACAAATAGGATCTCAGATATTTCACATTAATCCATACATTAGTGCTTGAAAGATTATTTGCTGAAACAAGACCAACACACTTTTTTGGTTTTTTTGTTTAGCTGTTAAAACACGTGTCTGGCCTGCAGGACATATATTTTGCCATCTTAACTTGAAGGGCAATATAAGTGTTAAATGCATGTTGCTTATGTATCTTAGGAAATAGAGCATTTTTTTGCAACTGTATCTTTTGTAATCAGCTTGGTTGAATGTATATAAAAGCTGAACTGCTCATCTTACCGACACCTTTCATTCATCTATCCTTTTTGTTCGTTCATGATTATGTTGATTTTTTTTCAGGTTAAATGTCTTATTCATGTGGTCAAGGCTGGTGCATTCAAGTCCCACAGCAACACGCGGGCATTTTTTGCTAGTTAGAACTAAATTGTGAAAGAGTGCACAATTCGTGGGTTCCCACTACAATTATTCAGAGCGTAATAAATAGTGAGACTACGAAAGAGTAGTCAAAGCAACAAAAGGACACTCATTACATAATAGTGATAAGTTCGTACGTTTAAACAGAAGGAAATGCCAGAACTGCCGTGATTCCTCGAGTGCCACAGAGAGTACAGTTATCTAGGTCTTGGAGGGGCGAAAAATAAAGTTGAGTGGGTCAGCAAAACAATGTTTATAAGAAAACCTTTATCTTTGAATATACTAACCCCTCGTCGTAAAACAAGTATAGTTTCCTCAAAACATACTACGTAAGTATGAAATCCAATATGTCAGCCATATAACCAGAAATATGCCAAGTAAATGATGTATCATATGCCACAGTAATAATCATGTGATAATCAAGTATAACTAAGTGCTCATCCATCTAAGGTGATACACAAGTTCGAATAGATGGTTTCTAACACGAACAGGACTTGGTGTAATCAATATGCTCTAGTACTACAATTACGTGAAGACTGGTGCAAAAGCACATCACATACAAGTCGGATTGCCTAATGCAATCTACCCGACAAGACTGGCACCTAAACTTGGATCCAAGGTGAGTGAACGGTGCGGATGTGAACATACATGTGAAGGACTGGCCCTGGCCCTGAGGCGAGTACTAACACTGGGTGCAGCAAGATGAGCATGTACACAAGTATGTATAAATGCCATAACAGTAATATCACAACTATATAGCAGCATTTATCACAATTTATATCACAATAATGATACTAGGCAATATAGGCGTAAAAGTGAGGTAAATACGTATTTATGGGAACTATAAATATATATAGGTATAAAACAACTGCACACTCACAAGTACGTCGCTGGATCTTAGCCCTCAAGCCTAGCTTGGCCTTGAAAATCCTCGGAATAAGTTTCCCCTATATGTGAAATAACTAAATAACATTAATTAAAGTACATAACGGAAACATAAATAAAACCCTTATAGTTTGCTCAAACCTAGGGTATAAATATATGAAATCGATCCTCTCGACGACATGAATATACACGTGTCAACCACGCGCCGCCCAAGGTGGCTGTCTACGCTCGCCCACGCGCCCCCGCGAGTACATTGTACTCGACTTCTTTGCGAAAATCTGCAGTTTTGCAGTTTTTTGGGCCAACTTCCAGAGCCCCTAACGAGCTCGATTCTCAACCAAATTCACTTCTACAAAAGCCAAATTAAAGCTAGGAATATGATCTACCGATCCCAATTTACAGAAAGTTCGAATATAGTCCGTGTTGTTCAAAAATTTGGCCTGAAAGTGGCCAAACGACCAAGGCTGAAATTTTCCAAGAAACTAAAATTTTCTTCCCAACTTCCAGAGTTGATTTCTAACTCGTTACTTAACCAAACTCAGTGATTCAAAAGCCATTTTGAAGTTAGGAATGTAGAGAACAAGTTTGTACCTAGAAAAAGTCTAGTTGTGGTCGAGTTTGACCAAAAAAATGGTTTGAAAGTGACAAAATGGCCACGGTTCTTGAGTGAAAAATGGCAGGTTCTCATTCTTCTTGAATTTCTGGGTAAAACCACACGTTCAAAACACAAACAAAGGATCAATAACAACCCATAGAAGTGAAATGAAGGTTCTAAGGGTTTCTCAAGGCTTACCTAAGCCATGCATGACCTGAAAATCGATATGTCAAACTCGCCGAGTCGAGCTTCCGAGTTTGTGAGTCAAAACTCGTCTACATCAGATTTCAAGGACATGGTTGTAATCGTGAAACTGAGATGATCAAAATGGTGTAGTTGGTTTGTCACATTTGTGAGTTTTGGTGTGTTTTGTGGTTGTTGCAGAGAGGAAGAGGAAAAAGAAGAAGAAATGTGGCGTGGGAGAGGGAGAAGAGAGAGAGAGAGAGATGCTTTTCTGATTGATGGAACATAAAATAAAGAAGAGATGGGATACGTGACAGTGAATAATGAAGGGGGAAGTGCACGGGATGGGTTTAAAAGGAATCCAAGGATAGGTTTTAGATTTCCTACAGTAAAAGGAAATCGAAATCTATCCGAAGTAGATATTTTTACACTCTACGTCTACTCGTACTAACGTGTACAATTTAAATGCAATACGCGAGAAATAAAAAGGAAAGCGATAAGAATAAGTCCACGTCACTTGCCAATAAGGGCATAATCGTCAATACACATACTCGGGGAGAAATTACATAGGAAAATTAGGGACGGGTCGTCACAAAGTGGTTCACTTTTATACAAGTTGTGAAATTCTTGTGTTAAAAAATTAATAACATAAAAAATAAAATTTTCCCCCACTTACATAATAACACATGATATATTATTTGTGTTACAGGCACAAAAAAACATTTCTCTAAGATGACACCTAAGTTCAAGAAATTTGATGGAGAGTTACATTTATTATTGTAGGTATGTAAAAATGTGAGGAAATTTTAATTTGGTAATTGAAAACAGCTTTTTAAATATAATTACTGAGAACATTGTCACATCCCCGCCCAGGCCCCCACCAAATCCCGGGCTCGACTCCACCGTAGCACGATATTGTCCGTTTTGGGCCTCGACCACGCCCTCACAATTTTGTTTCTGGGAACTCACACGAAAACTTCCCAGTGGGTCATCCATCTTGGGATTGCTCTCATGCAAACTCGCTTAACTTCGAAGTTCCGATGAAACCAGAAGCCAATGAGCTTCCAAAATGCCTCGTGCTAAGTAGAGATGGGAATTATACATATAAGGCTTACATGATCCATTCCCCTGGTCGATATGGGATGTTACAATCCACCGCTCCTTAGGGGCCTGACGTCCTCATCGGTACATTTTCGGCCAGGGATTGGCTCTGATACGAAATTGTCACATCCCAGCCTAGGCCCCCACCACATCTCGGGCTCGACTCCACCGTAGCACAATATTGTTCGCTTTGGACCCTTACCACGCCCTCACGATTTTGTTTCTGGGAACTCACACGAGAACTTCTCAATGGGTCACCCATCCTGGGATTGCTTTCACGCTAATTCGCTTAACTTAAGAGTTTTGATGGAACTCGAAGACAGTAAGCTCTCAAAAGGCCTCATGCTAGGTAGAGATGGGAATATACATATAAGGCTTACAGGATCCATTCCCCTGGTCGATGTGGGATGTTACAACATAATCTTCTCAAGGTTTTGATCTAAAGAATCACTTCTGGGTTCATCGTTTTCGGCGCAATAGATGCTTTTACAGGACCAAAAAAGGTCTAAATTTCAAACCTTATGAAACTAAACCAATAATTAAACATTATTTATAAAACTTCACCGATTAGTAGACACTATTCATGAAACTAAACCAATAAGTAGACCTTATTTATGAAACTGGATCAATAAGTAGACATTATTTATGAAACGAAAACAAGAATTATGCATTATTATCAAAACTAAATCAATAGGTGAAAACTATTTATGAAACTGGACTACAGATTATTTATGAAACTAGAATAAGAATTGGACAATATTTATGAAACATGACCAAGAAGTAGGCACTATTTATAAAAGTAGACCAATAACTAAACACTATTAATGAAACCAGACCAAAAAAGAGACATTATTTATGAAATTGTACCAATTACTATACATTATTTATGAAACTAGATCCAATAACTAGGCATTATTTATGAAACATGACAAAAAACTAGGCACTAATTATATAAGTGAACAAAAAACTATGCAATATTTATGAAATTGGACCAATAAATAGCAAGGAATTTTTATGAAAAAGGTTTGAGCTAAATTTATTTTAACCAAAAACCATACTATAACTTTATTTAATGAAAAAAAATAAAATTTTTATGAAAAACCCCTAAATTTTAATAAAAATGACAAAAAAAACTTAAATTTTAATGAAAATGACACAATATAAAAAATAAAAAAAAACAAATTGATGCGCGGGACCTATATGCTGTTTATGAAACTGAATATTGTTTATGAACCTGAATGATACTACTATTTATTGGTCAAATTTCATAAATAGTGCCTAATTTTTTGTCCACTTTCATGAATAGTGTCTAGCTCTTGATCATGTTTCATAAATAATGCCTAGTTATTAGGTTCAGTTTCATAAATAATATATAGTAATTGGTATAGTTTCATAATAGTGTCTCTTTCTTGGTATGGTTTCATAAATAGTACCTAGTTATTGGTCTACTTTCATAAATAGTGCTTAGTTCTTGGTCATGTTTCATAAATATTGTCTAGTTCTGACTCCAGTTTCATATATAGCGTATAGTCCAGTTTCATAAATAGTTTCCACCGATTGGTTTAGTTTTGGAAATAACGCCTAATTCTTGTTTTTGTTTCATAAATAGTGTCTACTTATTAATTTAGTTTCATAAATAGTCTATACTTATTGGTTTAGTTTCATAAATAGTGTCTACTTATTGGTGAAGTTTTATACTTATTGGTGAAGTTTTGGAAATAATGCCTAACACTATGGTCAGCCCTCCCCTCCTATATATACCTCTTATTCTACCAAATTTCGGTAAGCTTTGTTACCCTAAAAAACCCAAAACACTTTACTCTTCAAAGAGAAACTGACTTAGGCATCGGAGATCTATTGGCCTAACCCCCCACCCCGTGGGTGCGTGAGGCTTAGGTCTTGGATTAAATGTGTTAATTGTTTTGCAGGTGGCTAAAGACGGCGAAAATTTGCATCGACAAATTTGTGCTTTCATTGAGAGTTGATTCAAATACTCAAATAAGCCTCTTGCATTTTTTTCTTGAATTTTCTGTTACGTTGAATTTCTCACACGTCGTATCAATTAATTTTTCCTAGAAAAGTTTCTTGATCAATCCATGGAGAAAGGATACAATGGTAGGAAATTCAAAAACCACGACGAACGGAACCCTGTACGTACAAGGATTTGGACCGGAGAGTGGAGACGAGGACATAGCCCCACGATGGCTATCTTAAGGACTCAACGCGACGGCGAGAGGAGCCCCACTGCCGTGAAGCCATACCATTGTCGTGGCCACCACCTTGCAGCCCACGACAATGACCACCACAGCAGCAACAGCCCAAGCCAGGGCCCAAACACGTGCTGCAGCAACCCACCGCGCTGCTAGGGCACTAACAGGCTAAGGGTAAAAGGTCCAGCCCATACTAGCTGCCACAGCAGGCCCAGCCCACTGCAGCAGCAGGC